ATAATCTAATAATTCCTAATTCGCACGGTAGAGCGATAGCAAAATATAATAATACAAAAGAGGTAAATCTAATGCTTGAAGGTAGCCAGAAACGAAGCATTAGGCGGCTCGAGTCCGAAGATAGGCGGCGAGAACCGAGTTGAGCGCGGGAGTCCTTTGTGCGGCCGATCGTCAGTCCTCGGTGCGAGCAGCAGGATCCAGCGAAGAGTAGGCCCTGGTTTCTTCTCCGGGGGCCACTGATAACAGGAGCGCTAGGGAACGTTCGGCGACTGAGCGGCACGATAGAGGATTATCCTTTCCTCCTATCGGTGGCACAAGTGGCGAAGGCCTCTTTTTTGCGGTCCGTAGGGGCGGCCGGCAGAAGTATTAGAGGGATCCCATCCCGGGTCTCCCTGGCTCCACGGAAGTCCTTCGGAACGAACAGCAGATTGGCCCAGCCTCTGTCGATCGCTCGTCCGGTAGCTCAGGAACTCTCGTTGGCGGTCAGCTTCGTGCTCGTGGTGTTGACGTAGATTTGCTTCGGACGGTAAAGAAGGTAGGCGAGTGCGAATAGGAAAGCTCAAAAATAAAAAATAAAAAAACGAAAAAAGCAAAAAGAAGGAATAGAAAGAAGCAGAAAAGACGATAGGCGGAAACAGAGTGTTTAAACGGTAAGCGAGACAAGCAAAGCCGTCTTTGGAATGGCGGGTGACTGACGTTTGGAGGATCGTTGCAGGTGGATTGTGTCTTTTCCCCATTCCTAGCAATCTTTGTGACTGAATTTCCGAAGTTCACGTCACACTACAGAAATATAAATGTTCCACTTTCTACACCACAATGGCTCGGTAGCGTACGTGCTTGGTGCTGGGTTAACATCCGAGAATCTCGACTTCGGAACTCACGTCTCATCCCTTCTTTTTTTTTTTAATTATCAACTATGCTTATTGGTTCACCAAGTTAACTTAAGATTCATTAAATATATGATTATATTAGTCTACAAATATTTTATTATATTACATCGTATACATGCAATAAATTGGTACATCAAACAGCGAACGTTTCTTCTTCCCGAGAGCCTACCTGTGATAAACACCTATGTTACGCTGTTTCATGTTTTAATAGCATAAATAA